TTTTTAGGGTAACCGAAAGTCAAGGAAAAAGCATCACGAACCTGCGTAGGATAGTTCAGATATCCCACTGAAGCGTTTGAAAGACCCATAGTGAGCACGGTAAAGAACGCCAACAAGAAATACACTCTCAGTGGTATTCTAAATTCCCAACACCATTATTATTAGCAAGACTATGCAACGAATAGCCTCACTTTCTACTCCTTTCGTGGTACATGGTTCCTTCGGCCCATCCGCAAACACTATATATGATGAACTGGATCAGAGTAAGGTAAACTCCAAAGGGTTTCATACCAGGAAGTTTAAAGATGAGCTCCTCAAACAGATTACATGATCAAAAACCCTTAAAACAATGGTGAGTGAAGCAAACCTGCATATAGCCATATCCAACATAGAATACAAAAATCGCTAGAGATAACGATGTGAACTGAAGCCATAGAGGCCTAAAGATAGGTCGTCGGTAATTTGGTAAACCAATCTCAGTGTAAAAAATATTGTCATAATCAAAACCGAAGCAAAATCGCGAATAAAAAAACACATCAAATTCGAAATTGGGAACTCCAAACTCACCAAAAAGTGATGTTGAATCCGACTAAATGCAACTGCTCGGATGGAGGCTTCTCCCTAGCATGAGTGGGCAACATGTAACTGAAAAATAACTTTTGGCAAATTCCTTGCAACGATAAAGAATGTGAGACTGCTCTGAAATGAAATTTTACTTTCGCAATGCTAGCAGCAGCAGAAATTCATGGAATATTCAGCGGCTGCATAATTTAGATGCTTGTCATAGATAAGACAAAATCTGTCTACCCGGCTATGAATCGTGTAACCAGCTGCGTATTGATCAAAACCCACTAAAAAGACTAATCCCTCAATCTTTTATTGTTGATGACTCTGACTAATAATATAGCCAGACTTGAGCATTTGGTACCAGGCTAAGCACAACGACTCCGACGTAAAGGTGAACAAACTCAGATCGCCCTTTGCACAAAGCGAGCAAAGGTAGTACGGTAACTTTTACGATAGATAACTCACGGAACTTTTTTGAATTGTTGGATTTGATCGGTATGATTGTAGCTTTGGGATAAATGATCCATTTACAGAAACAGTGACCTAGTTACCAAAGCAAACTTTATGGTGGCGATTACACCAACAATTAGTTAATCGATATGGTTATTATTGTTTTTGTGATCCAAATAACACTGATTTGATGGCATCACCTAGTCTGGATATTCAGCTCTCTCATTTCCAAACAGGCAGAAATATCAATTTAATGAACGAGAATTTTGAGGGTAGG